CATCTTTGGAGGGAGCTTAAACTCTGCGTTGCTCAGCGACAGCCCCGAAACCTGACAGATCTAGAGGAGATCTGTGTGGAGGAGTGGGCCAAAATCCCTGTTGCAGTGTGTGCAAACCTGGTCAAGAACTACAGGAAACGTTTGACCTCTGTAATTGCAAACAAAGGTTTCTGTACCAAATATTAACACTGATTTTCTCAGGTGTTCAAATACTTATGTTCAGCAGTGCAAGACAAATAAATTCTTTAAAAATCATACAATGTGATTTCCTGAAATTTTTTTTAAAATTCTGTCTCTCAGAGTGGGAATGCGCCTACAATGTGAATTTCAGACCCCTCCATGATTTCTAAGTGGGAGAACTTGCAAAATCGCAGGGTGTTCAAATACTTCTGTTCCTCACTGTATGTGTGGTGAGAAAACCCTCCCTACGAGGAGAAGAATGCCACTCCCACAGTCCAACATGGTGGAGGCTGTTTTGGGGGTGTACATCTACATTAAGTGGAAGGAAGAATGAATGCCGCCCAGTGTCAGAGGATTTTAAAGCAAAGCCTCCTAGCATCAGTCAGAAAGCTAAAAATGAGGAGGCAGTGGATCCTTCAATGACCCAAAGCACAAAGTTAACTCAGGGATGGTTTAAAAAAACATAAGGTGAATGTTAACATGGCTGTCTCGGTGTCCAGACTTAAGTTTCACTGAAGTGCTGTGGATCAATTTGAAGAGGGCTGTACAGAGCAGGCAACCAAGCAATGTGGTCGTCTTGGAACATGTCTGCCATGAAAACCAGGCTAAAATTACAGCTGAGAGGATCCAAATGCTGCTCAGAGGGAGCCCACAGAGGTCGCAGGAGGTTAGGGAGGACGTACAGAGTGTTAGAGACTTTAGCACTGATATGGTTTCCATTATTTTACTCCAACTATTTTTGTTACTTCTGTTGATGTACCAGCTGAACGTGCATTAAATATTATGCTGATGAGAGAAAAAAAATCCTTGTTTTACTTTTGTCATTTCACATTAAGGGGGTGTAAACCTGTAGCCTGAGAGGGGTTCCTGCTAGTTAGCCTAGCCTCAACGCGGGCCTGTCAGCCTGCATTAGCTTCAGGCAGGTGTTCCTAAAAACTGCTAAACTGAACTGAGTGCATTATTGATAACAAGGTGACAGGAGATGGTGTTAATGTACATCAAATGCAGTAAAATATTTACATGCAATATTTTAATCCCACCTGGTAATGCTCCTTGCTGCTCGCTGCAGCGGCCTGTCTGTGATTGGTCGTTAACTCAGCGACAGCGTAAAGTGACATGTCGTAGATGTCGACGCGGCCGTCCGAGGGACGCCAGGAGAAGGTGAGAGAGGAGGTGTTGGCTGAAGTGACCGTGAGATTACCAACGGCAGCCGGACCTGGGTCAGACATGGAGGAGGATCCGAGTCAAGTGGAGAGAGAAAAACGGGCTTTGCCACCTCAGAAGTCAGGAGCTCTGAACTCTTGTATTCATCTTTATTACTGTCAAATGCATCTGTATATCAACCCACGAGGCACAGTGCTGAGTCTGAGCTGCACAACTCTAGATGCTAAAATCACACCATCTAGTGTTGTACAATGCCTTCTAGATACAAACTGCTTCAAATGCACTGAAATTTGATTGACAGATGACGGATTCCTACGACGACACAGCAGAGCACCACTGTCGACCGAGAGATAACCTTTACAAACTTTAACAGTTTAGGGAAACAAAAAAGAATTAGGATGAATTCCAGTGTGACTCCTTCCTTTAGTTTTTGAGACAAATGTGTTTGTGGTTTGAACCCGGTGTCCTTGAGCAAACATCCCTCCCATCAGGTGTGAAAACTCTCTTGGTTTGGACACATGCTTCTACTAAATGAATGCACTGACTCACGAGTTTGTCCTTCTGCTGTGGCCTCCAGCGATGGGACGCCGCCGCTCAGCGTCACCACCCTAACCCGGTACCACTTCCCTGAGGTCAGACCATCCAGCAGTTCGCTCCGACTCTCCATAGGGGCCGACCGATTGGCCACGACAACGTCAGCTTCATCCAATAACTGCAGACTGTAGCCGTCATCCTCTCCCAGCTGACGGTGAGACTGTGGGTGGTGTGGTCGTTGTCGGCCTGCAGGGCCGTGACTCTGGCCGGTGCTGGAGGGCAAGCACACACAGTACAACACAGGTTTCCTCAAAAGTCAGTGAAGCGAAGTAACAACATTTATATGAATCAGCTTCTTACCCGTCCTGCTGGTGGCTGTGTTGCTATTGATCAGCTCCCCGCTCAGCGACTGGATGGTGATGGTGTAGGCGTGGCCTGGGATCAGACCCAGGAAGTCCAGGGAGGTGACGTGTTTGGGGACGCGACGAGTCTCGACAACAGCACCGTCCTGCAAACAGGAAATGATGAAGTGCTGTGTCATTTGAAAAACAAAACAGAAATACCTCAAAACTGAACTTAAGTAAATGTACTTAGCTACTTTCCACCAAGTGACAGTGGGGTGTTCATCCATCAGCCAATCATCTACTGCTGGATTTGTTCTCCCAGTGTGAATCTGGTATGTGCACTGCAACTCACCGGAGCTGACAGGGAGACAATGTACATGTCCAGGTCTCCGTCTCCAGGTGTCCAGGAGACCAGCAGCCCTCCAGCTGAATCCATCAGACCGGGCTGAGGGTCCAGGTGGAGGTTTCCTACTGCACTAGGAACTGGAGAGAAGTGAAGTCGAGAGATGTGTTGCATTTCAAAGTGCAGTCGGAGGAGAAACGTATCTGTGATGTTTTATGGGAAGTTGCTGCGCCGCCGTCCTACCTGTCCGCCCCTCGATGAACTGCGCTCTCTGGTTTGATCCGCTGAACGTTGACACCACGATCTTATAAAGGCGCCCAGGGGTCAGAGAGGTCAGTTGGTGATGTTGCACCTCGCTGCCCAATGTGACCGGAGGGAAAACCCGAGTGTCGTTGAAGAGTAGAGTGACCTGGAGACAAGTGGTTAAATATGACCGATCATCACAGTTTCATGGCGTCCTGCAGATTAGTGAAACTCAGCCGCCGGCTTCTCCCATTTGTTAAATCTTTGCCACAGTCAGATTTCATATTTCGTTTCTGTGGGCGACTGCAGCCACTCAGTGGAGTGAGCACTGAAAGAACAGGCAGCTGTGGGAGGAGCAGGACGGGCTCAGAGTGAGCCACAACAAAGTGTGAGAGAGAGGTGGGATGTGACCTGCGTTGCCTGGGGTGGTGCCTGAGAATGTTTAATTTTTGGGAAAAAATTTAATGGGAACTTAAGGAAATAAAAAATAATGGAGGCTTGTTTCTGTTGAATCTTTCAAGTGAAGGTCTCAGTGGATGGACCAATAAATATTAAATCATCACATTAGAGAAGGAGAGTTTAACAGTTTAAAAAGGACATGAGGCCAGCTGGTTGCTGTTAAATAAAAGGAAAGAGACACAAAGACATCATCACTGTGTCTCACTCTGTGGTGAAAACAGGAGTAAGATGGTCAAACGTCACACCTCATAGTGGTCCACATCTCCAGGGGCGGGGCTCCAGGTGACAGTCAGATCACCTGTTCCTGCGTCGCCGAGCGACAGATTTGCCACAGCTGCTGGAACTGAAGAAGAGCTGCGACTTAAAATCATTGATCAAAATAGACACCAAACACAATTCACACTTGCTTCTCTGGTTTCCGACTCACAGGTGCGTCCATCGATGGAGACGCTGCTGACGTAGTCGCCACTCCAGGTTTCCACGGTGATGGTGTAGAGTCTGCCTGGCATCAGAGATGAGAACACGCACTCGTTGTGTCCGGCGGAGACGCTCTTGTTCTGCAGCACGCTGTGGTTGTACTGGATCAGAACCACATAACGGTCCACATCTCCAGCTGCATGTCGCCAGTACACCTGAACACACAGCACAGAAGCAACAAAACGTCAGTACTACTGAGGGTACGTAGCATACTGCAGAATACTCTATAAACGAAGGTACAACATGTACTTGGATTTAAAGGTGATTTGCAGTTAGCTCTTAAATCTGGTAAAAAACCTTGAGAGGAAAAATCTACTTCAGTTGAGCTGCTCATAGCTCCACTACACCGAGGATCTAATCTGTGTAGCAGGAGTAGTGTAGTGTATGTCTTGAAGGCTGACAAGCCAAAAAGGTTGAGAAATACTATGCTAGTGTTTGTTTCAAACACCCAGGAGACATCTGTGGGTCTGATAAGTGATCATTTTACTATGAGAACTTATATGTCAGATGTTTACGGAGGCTGTAAGTACAACAAGACCACGATTCTGTTCTTAAGCAAACAGATACTAACTAACCTAAATAAGCTTAAAACGTTAGTGACAAACACACCCTGAGGAAGTCGTCTCTTGCAGAGTGGACAGCTGTTGGGCTTTGCACAGTTGCAGGTTCTGCAAAACAGACCAAGAATAATCAAACAATATACAAATGTTTTAACGCTACCACAGATGCTCACAGTAAATTTAAACTGATTGGCGACTCTAAATTGCTCCCACCTCATTAGGATAAGCAGTATAGATAATGGATGGATGGACGGACTTTAAGCTTAACGAAATGTGTTTTGTTTAGCAGTGACTTCAGAAAATTTATCAGTGGAAATGTAACACATTCACAAATAAACAAATGTAAATAAGCATGAACTCCAAAGCTGATCAACTGAAATGTAAATAGAAGAGTAAACCCAAACAGAAACAAAAAAAAAATTTAACAAATCTAGCAGGAAACATAATCTGCTCTTACGTGTTCGTGCTCGAGTCATGGTGGCATTCTCCAGACTGCCGCTCCTCGTGACTATGACAACCGAGTACAGTCGCCCAGCGACCAGAGACCTGAAGGAGCACTGTGGTGGTGAGGAGTGCGACACGGCGAGTGTGTGAACGGTTCGACTCCCGTCCTGAAGACAAACCAGGTAGCTGTCCACCATGCCCACCGCTGGTCGCCATGACACCAGCAGAGCATCTGATCTGCCACCGTTAGCAACAGTTACCTCAGAGACAGATGCTGGGGCTAAAAGGAAATAGATTTTATTTATTGATTTATTTTACTGTGGCATTAAAGATCCTTAGCATGTCTCTGAAAAGTCAGGCCAAATATATAAAACTTAAAAAATGAGAATTACATTAGAGTACCTAACTGTTAAATAAAAATAAATACAATAAACAGTTTAGATAAACTGTTATTTATACAAACATCCTTGTCATAATCTTACTAAAGCATTATTATTTGTTTATTTGAATGAGTAGAAGAGTTTTTAAAGGCACTTTGAGACTTTAGTCACATGTAAATTTGTTTCAGTAAAACATCTGTAGTGCTGTTGACGATGTCACACAGTAAAAATCCAGGTAAACTTTCCAAACAAAGCCTCCACAAAATGAATCGCTTGATAGGAAAAGTAACAATCAACATTATTTTTACAGCATAATGGCAGCACGCAGGGAAAATGTGTACTGTACTGCAAATGACCACCGGGGGCAGCACTGCTATTTGGAACTATGAAGAGGTGGTGCAGTACATCAACTTACAAAAGTAATCTGGGGGTGCTGGGGGGAAGGGTGTGTTATTGTTAGCCTGAGTGCTGATTGGCTGGCATGTGAACACACACAGTCTGTCCAGAAAATAACTGGGACATTCTGTGGGAACAATAGGTGTGTGTGTTTTTGTGTGCTGCGTGGACAAACTGCAGCTTGAAAACATTGTTGTGAGGACGTTGTCTGGTCCTCGCACCTTGAGGAGGCCGTTTGAGGGTTCAGACTTATTTTAGGTCCAGGTTAGAACCAGGTGTAGCTTAGGGTTTGGGGTTAGGCATGTAGCGTAGGTGTTATGGCAGTGAGCGCCCTCACAAAGATAGATGTACAAAGGGTGTGTGTTTGTGTGCAGGAAAACCTTTGAGCAGGGCGTTTTTGTGTGGAACATTCCTGCCTTTTGGTATTTAGACCATTGTTCGAAAGCTCTCCGATATCATCATACACACAGAGCAGTTGTTAACCTCTGGAGCTCTAACACTTAGCAACCCTGACTTTTAAACTCACTGGTTGGGTGAGATGATGAAACTATTTCTAACAAATTTCCTCTGGTGATGACTTTTGATTATAATTTTAAGAAATAAAATGACAAATGATGTGAGCATCCATCAGGAATCTTACTTTTAACAGAAAACAGCGTGTAGCACAGTGAAAAGAAGAGGTGAAAAAGTGTTTATAGGAGAGCGCTATAATTTAAAATGGACATTTTTACAGATGTATGTGATGATGATTAGCTCAGAAATATGAAAATGATTCATTAACAAGTCAAACCCGTTGTCTATAGGTCTAAATATGCAGGTTATTTGGATGTTAATGGCATTTACTGTAACAACATTTTCTCTGATGTGTTTTCCAAGCATCCAAAAACGAACGGTTCCACCAAGTCGCTTGTTAAGTGACAGTGAAGCAGACGGTCGTGACAGGACATTGTCAGACAGTAACACTCTGTAAACTCTTTGTTCGCACTCTGTTCGTTGTTTGGTTGGGGGGGGGTCACCGAGTTTTTCCTGTTAACAGCAGCTAAATGTGTTGGGAAGGTTGTGTCTAGACAAAAGTCTGACTGACCAGCAACCAAACAGTCTTGCGTAACCGGAGGAGTGCGTGTATTTTCTTCTGGCTTCTTGAACAATAACAACCATTCTAGTCGCTGCTGAAAAGAAACATTCACTTTTTGTGTTTGTCAATACCTTTGTTTCTCACAAATCTCAGTGAGAAACTGTGCTAACATCTCTTCTTTCTTTCCGTTAATGCCACAGTGATGACGTCTGTAGCGTGACGATAACTGGAGCTGGGGCCTTCTGGGAATTTGGTCCGTTTTTAACAGAAAAGTCAGGTTGAAATGTTCTGGCTCAAGTGGCAGCTTTTAGCACAAATAGCAAAATTTGATTTTGAAGGCTCAGTGATAGTATTTACAGTAACTATGATTTTGGAATGTAAATGAACAAATGCATGTATGAAAACTATCAAAGATTAAACACAAAAAGTGGTAAGACTTTCTTTTACTGGTAATTTCCTAGTAATGTCCTTGAAATGTGTTTAAAAATACTGTTAATTACTCCTACTAAAGTGTTTATACAGCAGCGTCCACTTATGTCTGTCCACAGGAGGAGTGAGAGTTAATTCATGCATTAGTAAACATGAATGTCTGCTTTTAACTACATTACAGTGTGTAAGTGTACAGTGTTTAGTCAGTGACCAGATAGCAAACAATTCAACAAATATGACCAAGCTTCCAAAAGTAAATGAATATATATGTGCAGGTTTACATCATGGGCTGTTTTCCCAAGGAGCAGTGTATGTTCCCTGTGATTGCTGCTATTTATGGACTTTTCCCCCAGAAAACTAACATGTTAGGAAATAATCAGTCCTAAATAACTAAATACAAGGAGAAGAGAAGCTCCAGCATCTCACCTGTGCGTCCCTCCAGACTGGTGGGTTTAGACTGCAGCCCCCCGCTCGCCTGTAGAGGGCGCCGGGCGTTAAACTGGACAGCATCAGAGAAGAAGAGCCGACTGAGACGCTGTAGTTGTGAACCACAACACTGTGGAGGAGAAGGACAGTGATGTGTCCACAGTCATGTAAATGTACACGTACACGAGGAGAGATGGCTGGGTGTCACGGCTTTCAACCCAGTAAGGATGACACATCCTTACAGTACTCAGTACAAAGTAAACGGCAGCATCTACTGTATATTTTCATGGTCATGTGATACAATCAAAAGCTCCACAACAGCTACTAAATGGACCCTGAGATACTGTTTAACAGCTGATGTTTCTCAGGTCAAGAATAATCTGACTCTCAGCTCTGGACTTGTCGGACGGCGCTCCCCATCGTCTTGTCAAACTCTGGAGAAGACAGACGACAAGATGTCCCCAACAACTCGGCTTCCACGCTCACACACACAAACCTGCCCTGCAGCAACGTCAACGAGTACGAGTCCACGTCTCCTGGTGGTTTTTCCCATGATGCCTGGAGGCTGTCGACTCCTGAGCTACTCAGAGTGATGGCACGCAACGCCATGGGAACTGCAACACACAAACACACCGGCCAGTCAGCACAGTCACGCACCAGGGCCTTCAACAGCGTCCTAAGAATTAACTGCTAATAATCAAGTCCGTAAAATGACCGAATAACTTCACAATATTCCACATTTAATTCACTGAACTGTACTAAAGTCATTTGTTGATTCGACAGCTGTACTTCACTACACAGCCCTTTTTCTCAGGCCTGTTCTCTTAAATTATTGTATGTTCTACATTGATTGATGTTTTTCTGGCCTAAAATTGCCAAGGTTAATGGCACTGAGCCAAAAAAGGTACCTGACTTAAACTCCATAATATGTACTAGAAATACGCTGTAAATCACAGTCCCACAAATTCCCCAAAATAAAACATTTATTAGAACAAGCTAATTTCAGCTGTTCTTAGCCCTCAATAGACCACTTACATAAAATAAAGGGTTTCTCCATAAGAGTCTGAAAGTGCACCAATAGGTTTCTCTAAGTGCTCGCTACAACAGAAATAAGGTTTCTGTCCCCACAAGGACCGACTCAAAAACACACACCCGTCCTTCCCTCCAAAGACACAGAGGTGTTCAGTTTCCCACTCCTGGTTGTCACGGTGATGGTGTACTGTCTCCCAGGTGTGAGCACATTGAATGTGCACTCCCTCATGTTTGGCTCCACCTCCCTCATATCCATGGTGACATTACCTGCAAGACACAGGACGCAATAATAATAACTACTGCATTACTAAAAAAAAAAAAAAAAAATATTCACCTGATATTTTTATAGGTTTTGAAATCTTATGGCGGGCTGAATGGTTACCATGGCAAATTGTGAGGAAGTAGCTGTCACGTGACCCAGAGGGGGCGTGGCTCCACATGGCGCTGAGTGAGGTCTCATCTGAGTGTCGAATGTGGAGGTCGGACACTGGGGCAGGAGCTGCAGAGAACCAGACAGAGATCCTGAACTCAGGCTTGTTCAGTGCTGGGTTTTGGACTCGGATAGGAACTTTTGTTTTACGTTTCTGTTTTAGTCATGTTTCTGTTGCAGTGGCTGGATCTTAGATACATTTCTACATATTTGCTGCATTACGTTTGTGCGGTTATGTTTCTGTGTTTCGTGTTCTACAGTATGTCCTGCAGTGGTCTGACCTGTGGCTCCCTCACAGCTGCTCTCTGCTGTCAGTCCTCCACTCTCCACCCTCAGCACGGCTCTGTACTGCCTCCCAGGTGTTAGTCTTGTCCCAGGGAAGCTGAAGTTCACTGTGTCCCGGTCCACAGTGGTGCTGACCAACTCTTGGGAGCCATCAAACAGGAACAACCAGTAGTTCTCCCAGTGTCCAGCAGGGGGTGACCAAGACAGCAGGAGGCCCTCAGAGGAGGGAGACAGGAAGAGGAGGGAGGCCGGAGCTGGGGCTGGACAAAGGGTGAAGACATGATGAAGAAAAGACAAGAAAGAAAGAGAAATGAAAAGAAGGACTACTCACCTGTCCTGACAGTGATTTCTGATTGGTTTATCAGCTCGCCACTCATGGATGCCACTGCGACTTGATAAGCCGAGCCGGGAGTCAACTGGTTGGTGGTGACCTCTGTGGCGTCCGGAGGAAGTGTCGTTTGCCATTGGCTTGTGCCGTTGGTCGAGAGGGTGACGATTAGTATGTCCAGGTCACCTTCAGGCTGCCATGACAACCACAAGCTTGTGCTGTTGTAGTAGTCGACAGTGAGGTTGGAAACAGCAGAGGGCACTAGAGAAAAAGAAAAGCGCAGATATAAGACTTCTCTCCATCTGTCCTCTCATCGTCGTCCCTCCTCTCTCTGTACCTGTCTGAGCCTCAATCGTCCTGCTGTTCTGCAGATCGCCAGCCTCCGTGACTATGGTAATGTTGTACAGCCGTCCTGACGTCAGGTTGAGGAGCTTGAGTTGTGTTGTCGTGCTCTCCAGCGTCTCATTCTTCAGTAGACCTGTAAAGGAGGTAAGGTAAACAAAAGGTCGCAGCCAGGAACCAACCATCAACCTTTACATGAGACAATGGAGATGTGGCCAGTTGCTAATTAGATATTTTGCTCTGCTGTAGCGATGAACAGAAGGTTTCTGTCCTACGTGTTCCACACCAGGCAAATACATCTTAAACATGACAGTTTACCATCAAGCCTTGTGAAAAGCTGTGCAACACTTTTCTCATGAGGAGCTAAGCGTGACAGACGTACCCGGACGGTGCAGACTCGCAGGTTGCTCCCACAACTGCAGCCTGAAGCGCTGTGTACTGCCGGGGCCAGCCTGCCAGGAAAGACCCAGGCTGCTGCAGGTCCTGGAGGTCACTGCCAGGCTGCTCACTACCGACGGCCCTGACACAACATGCACAGTTCACAGCAAGAGACAAAACGAGAGGTTTTCAGTGTGGAGGGAATTGAAATAAAATCAAACACCAGGACAGAATGATTTGTCTGTAAATTAGTGACTGTTTGCATCCAAGAGTCAAAAATCTATAACTTTCCTGATCATGTGATGATGCAGGCATGAAAGAAGCAGCAGCTCAAGGAGGCAGAAACATCAAGAGTCGGTCTGCAAATGGCTGCAGAGCTGCAGCCTGATAATTGTTCAACCTCAGTTTGAAGCTCCAGCTGCGACACAAACTTCACCCAGAGACCGCTAAGAGAGGAATTCTGGGAAAGCAGGGAGCACTCATCTGAAGAGAAGCAGGGAATGTGTGTGTTCATGTGTGTCAGCGGACTCCCAGAGTGCTCAGGCTCTGATGACACAGATTGGAGGCGATGGCCCTTTTCATGCCGTCCGGCTGAACTCATGTTCCAAACAGATAAATCACATTAAAGTCCCACCAACTGGGAAACAGCATGGAAATCTAAGCTAAGCTAAACGCAGCCCGGACCTTCCTCTGTACAGAGACCACGCTCGTGTAGTTTGACCGTGGAGAAAGCAGGAACGTTGCTGCACATGTGGCTGGTTCAAACAGGCAAAGAGGTCATGTGACCACTGAAGATCATAGTCAGAGAGCACCAACACCACAGAAGAAGAAGTGTTTTCTGAGAAGGCTGCTGTCGGGACTCGACTGGGTGCAGTTACACCCTGTTTCCTCCTCTCACTCGCACACACACACACACACACACACACACACACACACACACACACACACACACACACACACACACACACCCTTTCCCAGTGCTTCCCACAGAACAAAGAAACAATGGAGGCAGGAAATGGCTGAACCCTGAGCTCTGCCCATGATGGAAATACACACTCGGGGTCCAACTTCTGTTCTGGATGCTGGCCAGCGTGGACACACAACACACACACACACACTTTGATGTACTTTTACTGCTCTATCACTCTCCCTCAGCAGGGCAGGGGTTCCTGTAGCTAATCAAATTGCTGCAGAGAGGGGAAGCGCCACGACATTAACTCTGAGACACACACACTCGAAACAACACGGAGGTCACACTGTGCTCTTTTACTTCAAAGGATGAGAAGTTAGAGGAGATGGAAACAATAGAACAGAATCTCTGGACTAAACACTGCGAGCAAGGCTCCTGAACTTCAGACGTCTCAGACATGTAACTGTGTGGCTTGTCGCAGGTTCATGTGGATGCAGCAGTCAAGTCTAGTTGGTTTAATGCAGAAGACCACTGTTAATTGTAAACAAACAACATTTTACATACAAGTGTTTTACATTTTTCATCAGCAAAATAAAAACTATAATGTCAAATGTCACAAATGGATATGAAGCAATACTGTCTTAAAGCACAGTCTGAAAACCACAAACTGTAGCTTCTGATCAGAGAAACCATTTCCCCCCACCACCTAAAAAAGCCTCTGGAGGTCCAACGACAACCAGCGCGAGGCCTGAATGCCAAACGGCACGCTACCAACGTCATGCTTTTGATTCGCTAATGTATTTAATCTTCCTGCCGTGGAAATCAAATCTCATTGTGCTCAAGGGACTTTTACCCCCGGGAACCTTCTGGACAAAAGGCTCCAGGAACTTCCTGGTGGAAATGCACCTGTGCAGTCTTGATCAGCAGTTTGCTTGGCTGCTATGGAAATCTCTATTATTCTGGGCACTTTACTCACAAAAAGACCAACAAATATTCATTTAAACCACCATTTTGAACAAAAGTACTGACTATTAACTGAGCAACATCCACAAATGGATCAAGACCACGTGACAGTGATGAATGCTCTAAAACAAGGGAAGAGGACCTCGAGACAAGATCGGTTGTCCTGTGTTTTAACAGAGGTAAGGACTTACTGGTGTGCAGGGTGAGGTTGGCTGTTTCTCCATCCGTCTTGGATCGAACCTGCAGTTCGTAGGCGGTTCCTGGCTCCAGGTGACCCAACACACAGGTGAAAACATTGCTCACATCTTTGTTCCCTTCATCCTCGACTCCTAGCTGGTTGGTTCTCAGGTAGTTCCTTTCTCTCCCCTCCTGCTTCTCCTTTGCTTCCTCCTCCTCCTCTCCTCGCTCCCTTCCCCTGATCTCATTCTTTAATTCTTTGTCTCCTCTTCTTCTACACTTGGCGCCATCTGCTCCGGTGTCCAGCGACATCACGGTGAAGGAGCAGTTCTGTCCAGGTGTGGTAACAGTCAGTGATATGGAGTCCACACTGGACACTGGCTCCGACACAGAGATGCTGCATGGGACAGACTGGTCCTCTGTGGGAGCTGCACTGCTCACATCCTGACAGGAGACAAGAGAAATGGCGCTAAGATGAAGAAAACTTGTGTCCATCAGTCAGCTTAAAAAGTCAATGTGTTCCTCAAACACCTGCATTCACATCAGCTGCACCTGCACAGTTTCCTTAGTACTGTATTTTCTCACATTTTGAATATTTAAAAACAGATTTAAAGGCACATAATCCCCCAGAAAACCACAACTTGTTCGTACACTTTAAAGTTTGTAAGAATTGAACGAGCAGGACATAGCGTGCTACTCGGCCTAATCAGTAGCCTTTACAGGCGCTGCTGGGTGTTTTTGTTTTTACCTGGGGCAGAGTCGGGCCGTTTCCCCCGTGTTTACCTGAAGTTAACCATATCCTGTCTCCAGGCCTGTGCTTAACACAGACACGAGACATCTCTCTTTACTAAAAGAAAATACAGATCACGCCTTCACTATTGACTGTTTCAGGGATTGTAGCAGTTTATTTATTTTCAGTTTTCCCATTGTCTGGATCCATCTGTATCAGGGAAACTAACGGCAAATAAGCCTTTAACACCTTTAAACTGAAAACTCGTGTGAAAAACAATTCTACACCTCTGAACACTGGAATATTTTTGCTGAAAAAACTGAACCTTGTGTGTTGATGACAACAAGGAAGCATCATGCAGACTATTGTGTCTGCAGCTACGTACACAACTGTAACTACAATGTTTGTGGTGTGTTATCACATTTGAAGTGTGATTGTACCCGACCTCTGGCCTTGTGCAAGTGCGTGCGCGCGTGCACTGAGCTCTATAACTTTTAATTCTGCAAAGCAGGACAAAGCAGAGTAATCGCTTACTGATAATGAGGCTCAGAGGAGTTCAGAGACAACAATGCAGCAGCGACAGACAGGAAGTGGGGGGAGTGGGGGCTGAGGAAAATGAAATACCAGTGTTACACACAGTTCAGACTGTAGATGTCGAAGCAGTGGTCCAGCTGAAATACAGGTTCAGAGAGACCTGAAAGCTGCTTTTAAATCAGCTTAATGGTCACAAGTACACTCAGCCTAACATCGCTGTCAGCGGGCGATGGCTTAATATTCACAGGAAATGCTCGTCTCCCGTCTCCCGTCTCCACGTCCAGAACAAACGAAGGTCCAGGTTGTGTTTAGCCTGGCACAGCACAAAGAGTGGAAACTGCTCCATCCATGCACACTGTGGCACAGGTTCATCATGGTATATATACACTTGTCCCTACACTTAAATAATTAACACCAGTTCTTTAAAGTTTAAACCGGCGTAGTGCTGCTAAAGCACCAAGTAGTTTTATAGATAGAAGTCTGACTGCTCTGGGTTGCAAAGACTCTGCCGTGTGTTGCTGTAGCATGTATTATATACAAGTGTTGGCATCATGACACCGAGGTTCCCCTGTCCAGTGTCAAACAATACAATGTGCTTTATTTAACATGGTTTTTCTTGCTCAGACCAACTTTGTAGGGCTTTTGTCAAAGTTAAAATAAAGGCAAGGATCTGTGAACATCCCAGATTAGGCAGAAAAATAAACGTGGTTAACGCTGTTCCATGAACACCACCACAAAATGACTGCTTGGCAAAGCCACAGTGAAACTGGTGTACAAGTCCTTCTGCCCATTAAACTCATATCTCTTCATCTTTCTATTGATACATGATAAAGTCTGTTTTGCCACTATAAAGACAATTAACAGAAAAAAGCTGTGTTTTCATCTCCAGAGGAAAACAGCCTGTCTCACCTACACTCATAGAGAAGATGACAAATCACTGTTTCACTACCACATTCTGCACGTGATACAAACTTCAGTTTCATGGCAATGAGGATAAATTTGGAAGCAGCACAACGGTGTAACAGTAGGCTACAGTAGGTCGGTTCTTCACATGACGCTGTGGCTTTGTTTTGATAGAGGGACATCTGTTGGCTACCTGTGCTACACGCAAAAGACAGCAGTGAAAAATGGCTTTTCTTAAATACATGATTATAAGTTTCACTTTGAGAGAGTCTCGGCAACAGTACTATGCAAAGGGGCTGATAATGATCTAAAAAGCAGCTTAAATCACATAGTTTCTCAGTATTTCTTCAGAAACACACATTTCCAGGTTGGCGCCACATTAAAAACCACTTGATTTATCAGTAAATCTTGAAGCAGAAACAAACTGACCTGGAGCAGCAGCAGCGTGGTGAACCACAGAGAGCAGAGACGGCTGTGGACTTTACATTTCAGCATTTTGCTCCCTCAGATCCGCAGACAGAGCAGACACCACCATAATCCTGAGGCTGAAGCTTTATTTTCACTGTTTAACGGTCGATTTTTGGAAAATATCCTGCTCTTTTATCTGTGTGGTCTTCAGCGCTGAACAAGCCTGTCTGGAAAATTTAAGTTGGGGGGAAAAAAACAGCTGGAAAAACAGTTAAATGGCCTTTTTATGTCAATAAATTCTTAGTTGGCACAACAGCTTCTTTGTTTCCAGATATTTAATCTCGTCAGCCTGTCGTTTCGTCTCTGACTCAGGTCCATCCTACACTCAGACCCAGTCTCCTCTGGTCTCCCTCCCAGTCTCACCAGCTCTATGTCTTTCTTCCTGCCTGTCTGTTGGTCGGGCAGACTCTATTAGTGGCGATGCTGGGAGTCACTAACGGACTTCCTCAATCAAGTCAACAGCTCTGTGAGTCATTGCAAAGGCATCACTATAAACCTCGTCTGGATGACGGCTATAAATAGGCCTGTAGCGCCAACAGCAGCACACCTAGCTGTGCTGACAGCAGACGAGCTTTTGATTCATCCCCCTGTGATGTTTAAACTTTGCTCTGTGACAGTCCTCTGATGCATCTGTGCTTTCACCATTTCCGGGGTGTAAATTTAGCTTTGGCTCCACTTTGACCTGCTCACTGGGCTTCTGTGATTCTGCTGCTGTTGATAATTCAGTTCTATGACATCTCGCTGAGTATAATCTCAGATTTGTAACATCCAGCAGAAAATTAATCTGAAACTATTTTGATTGTTTTATTAAATGTGAGACTTTGTTGGTCCTGTTTTATACGACAGTAAACAGAATCTTTGGGGGTTTGCATTGGTGATCTGACAAACCGTGACATCTCAGGATCTGAGCCACAAAAGGCAGACTGTGATGCAGTGCTAAAAGTTAAAACTGCTTTCGTCTCAGATGGTCTGAGCTACATTTAGTCATCCACACCCCTTCCTTCCTTCATGCTCGCCTCCTCTCTCTCGCTCTCTCGATGTGACACTTCCGTAGTTTCCAGGACAAACAGTTTCAGGAATGAGTCATGTGGGGGTCACTTTGGGGTCGTGTCACCTTCATTATGGATCAGAATGCTGTATCAACTGCCATGTTAAGCCCTTGACCTTGTTGGGGATGTCTCACTCATTGTTTGGGAGAATGAACAGAGCATATACAACCCAGTTCTTTGGTTCAGTCCAATTCAAAGACGACACAGGTTTGCACTCCACTGTTTTTATGTCCAGTGTCTTTATGTACACATTACAAGTAATAATATACTGTGTGTAGATAGAGTAGATAAAGAGGTTACAGCACTACTCGGTGGCTAATGTTCCAGGCTACTACAACATTCAAGTTGGCTAGTAAAACATTTAAAAACCAGGTACCTTACTTACAGTAGACTGAGCTGTAATGTCCACACAGCAGAAGTTTAAAGGGACAAACATTTTTTATTTCAACACTGGTTTTTTTCCCCATGGTATTTACACTTTAAAAGTCAAGTTTCCTAAAGTTATTCTTAATTAGAAATGAAACCAAGATGTCAACTACTTTTGTTTTATAGGTGGCTAATTGTTTTTTTTTTTTCCATCTAACCAATGGTGTTACAATAAAAGCCAACTTGCTAATGCATAGAAAGAAAGTTAGCTAATGTCAGCTAACTAACAAAGTTCAAGAGAAACATGGAGTTGAGCATTAATCAAACCAGCTTTAAACCACTGGACTACAACTTTAACAGGAGCTAGAATCAGTTCTATTTCGTACAGGGTTCACGGGGGCGAAGGTGGCCCGCGGCTCCGGCCGCGCGCTTTACAGCACCCTCCCGCCCGGACCTCGCCGCTTCCCGGGGCCGTGGACTCGGTGCTCGCTGCGCCCTCTCTTCCCCGCGCCCCCCACCTTCTAAGAGCTGCTGCTACTGGGTTCATCCCCTCATGCGTGCACAGTCATGAAGACTTTGTTTTGTGCCCTGTGCCCTGCACAGGGCTCACCCCCTCAGGTCCATCTCCATTATACAATGCCTGCATGGCCTGAGCTCTGCTCCCTTTTTTCCTCAGCACATGAAGCAGTCACCTTGTGAGGATCATCTGTTTGCTGCTAATGGGGATCGTGGTCCAGATGAAGGCAGCTGGGCTAACCACAATGAAGAATTGTTGGCAGATGAAGCTCAGGAGTTTCTAGACACCTTCAATTCAATGGAAGGGCAACATGCAGGGGACGGGTCCACCCACCACACCCTCCCCCCACAGACATGATGGGCGACATCTACCAAATGGAACAACAGAACAGGTCCCTGTTTGGCCCAAGTTCCCTGCCATCCGCCCCTTCTTGTCAGAGGCAGCTGAGCATCCATGGAGCCTGAAGGCACCAGATGCACACTTCAATCCCAGAGTCCAGGGAGCAATGGAGCACGGTTTCCCTGCCATTCCACCATTAGAACCAAGCAGTCTTCTTGGGCAAACAATGGCCAACTCCCATTGAGCATGTGAGATGAGCCTCCACTGGAAGTGGATGCTTGTTCTTACCGCCCGTGGCCCAGAGGTCTTCTCTATGCCTTCCCTCCCGTCTCCCTGATTCCACATCTTTTAACGTGGGTGCAGGACCAGCGTCCAGCAGGGCATTTACTACATCCAGCTTCCTCCTTAACCCAAGAGCAACAGCTCTTAGAGGGTGAAGCCTATATGAAATAGAACATTGGTTATGGACTGTAACCCCAGATTCTATGAGTACAGGCGTAGTCCTCTAAGCTGAGGGCCCCACTAACTCCACCTCCACCACCCAAAGAAAAAAATGCTGGTTTATTTGGAGCAGAGCTTATGCCACGCAGGTGATATATATACAGTGGATGCAGACCTTAAGGGGTCAGCCCAGTGCAGGGCACAAAAGAAAGTCTTCACAACAGTGCATGCACAGCCAGCATGCCCGTCGGGATGAACCCAACAGCAGCATGCTGTCCTCTTAGAGGGCGAGAACATAGAATCTGGGGTTCCATCTGCACATAACCAATGTTGTTCAAGTAACATTAGCAAAGAGCAACATCTACATGTCTCGAGGTCCTTCACTAGATAACATATCAAAAGTAACAAACTTTAGTATGAGCTAAAATTGGTTCTTTTAACAGCTAATGTGAGTTTAAGAAAGTATTGACACAAGAAAATGTTTCCTCTGTTTTGATACTTGATTATAATTTTTTGATAAACTGGAAAAACTTCACATTTCATAAATTATTAGCTGAAATGTACAGGTACATGTCAGCTTTTTTCAAGAAACAAAGGAAACTAAAGGACATTTAGAAAAAGTGTAATCCATTGTTTTATAAGTTTAACTAAGGAAATAAATCCCACTTAGGATCACAACCCATTTGGCAAAGGAGCCTTGGACACACAAGCACAACACAAATTTCAGCTCCTACATTAGCTACCAACAGCTTAGAGGCTCAAAAGCTGTACATTTAAATTAAATGCCCGTCTAAAACTGAAAGTCTGGCGTCCCTTTAAACTACTACAGTCGACAACAAGTCAGTACAGGACATGAACCACCACCTACTGTACACACACACACACACACACACAAAATACTATGTCAGAGGCAGTGTGTTGTTGTCCCTGCTGCTGCAGTGGGCATGGAGACTGGGTTCATTCTACTTTCACTTCAGTCAGATTAAAGAGAAAATTACACCACTGCAACAGATCTGAACTGACAGACGTGAAGAGTGGGTCAGTGATGGTCCCAGGAGCTTGTTGGACAAAGGATGAAGGTCCAAAGTCTTTAATTGTGTCACAAGTAAAGAAATAAGTAAAAAGATATTACACAGAAAAAGAAGAGTCCTCAGAGTTCCTGTCATTTTTAGTCCATCTATAGACTGCTCCCAAAGCTCCCAGTTTAAGCTGCAAAGTCCCAATGGTTGTGGTCCATGGACTGAAATATGACTGTACACATTAGGTTTGACTCTAACGTGCTATACTTTGTTCGCCCCCCCCCCACACACACACACACACACACACACACACAGAGAGAGCAGATCAGATGTTCTTCGTTACTGGCATTACTGTAGAAACTTGTCTATGAGAAGTCGACCCCCGGGAACTGACCAGACACACCTCACTAGTTCTAGGCTTGTTTCACAATTTATTCTACAATGTGTAGTTATAGCGGTGGTTTCCAACTGAACTTCACCCTTAGCATGACATTTTGTATCCGATGCATTTGCATTCATGTGGTGTGGATGAGTGGCCTTTGGTTGTGTGGAGTCAATGTAAATTAATTTAAAAGCTCTCTAGAGAATGTCTAATGTCCCTTCTAACATTTGTTTGCTGGCCATTTTAAAAAGTGTACTGAATGTGTTGATGTTGAAATTGTTACTTCCAACATGTCAGCGTTCAGTTAGACTCCAACAGATTACACTGATCAGCTACAACATTAAAACCACCTGCCTATTAACCGTGCAGCTCCCCTCATGCCAACAAAACAGCTCCGGTCTGCTGAGACCTCTGAAGGTGTCCTCTGGTATCTGACACCAAGACGTCAGCAGCAGATCCTTTAAGTCCTGCGAGTTGTGAGGTGGGACCCCCAGAGATCGGACTTGTTTTTCCAGCACATTCCACAGATGCTTGATTGAACTGAGATCTAGGGAATTTGGAGGCCAAAGTAATGCCTTGAACTCCCACCCCAGTTGCTGCACTCCTTCACCATGTGTTGTTGTCTGTCTACACTTTCAAGAGCCCCCACAAGTGGCAGGAGTAGCTCAGAGGAGACGCAGGCTCCTGGTGCAGCAGCCAGAGCGTGTTTGTCTGAGTCGGAGGTGCAGGAGCTGCCACGGAGCCTGGTGGCAGAGCCAGAGGCTCAGCAACAAGGGAGATGGACCTGAGGAACAAGATCAGGAACCAAGAAGCTGAGACTGCCGCTCTCTCTTCGAGGAACCTCCAGGTCAACAGGTGTGCCACTGGTACAGCCACAACCAACACAATGTTTAACATTTTAGTGTTTTTTTTTTATTACACATTAAAAATAGCTTCCATTTTTAAATGAAGTATTAAGTAAATGTCAAAATGAAAGTCAGCAGGGGATTTGTAAAGTGCATTAAGATGATTGTTTTGATTTGGTGCTATATAAATTTTAAATGATGCAATGATAGTGGACTGTCATGTTCCTCAAACCATTCCTGAACAGTCTCTGCAGTCCATCATCCTGTTCACAGAGGCCACGGCCATGAAGGGGAGGGGCTTGGTCTACAGCAGAGTTTAGGTAGGTGTCACAGTAACATTCAAGGTTTCCCAGAAGAACACTGCGTGGAGCATCACAGTGGCTCCTCCAGCTTCCCTTTTTCCCCATAGTGCATCATGGTGCCATCTCTGATTACATGATAACCAAAAACATTCATCAGACCAGGCCACCTTCTTCCACTGTGACCAGATAATCATTGTTCACTTCTCCTGACAGTGGTTTTAACGGTGTGGCTGATCAGTATAGTTTCTTAACAATTCCCTGAATTTTTAGTCTCTTGCATCAGTTTTCTTTTTTGGTCAAGTCAACTTGTCTGGGGTAACAGTGCAGCAGATTTTCATGAAAGTCAACAAATGGCTGACAAACATCAAAAACATGTTAAAAACTGTATAAAAATAATCTTATTACTTTGATACACCAAAATAATGCACTCACTAGATAAAATTTACATTGATGAGATGACTGCACCATTGTGACTTAAATATTTCACATTTTTGGTATAAAGCAGTATTTCACCCAACAACCTTGGATCTGAAGTTAGCTGCTATACCGAGCATGAACCCTAAGGTCAAGCAGCACAGAACTTAAAACTCATTGGGTTTGACTTAGCAAACTGCTGTTTGGTTTGGCCTGGTGCTGAAAAAGAAACCTTTGACTGAAACTTCAAGACAGTTCAACAGCGATACGTTCATGTTCGGATTAAATGTACAAATCGAAAGCATCTGGCCGAAGCACGTTGCTACTTTTGCCCCATTAGTCTCATTTTTTTGACGTACTCTATTCATTGGTCTTTCAAATTCATTTGGTCTTTCCAGTTTTAACTAGAGCTGCAACAGAGCTGGGTTGATCCTAAAGATCAAACAGAATATTAAACAGGCTATGATAAAACAAATAGCATGCAACTGTAACATGTTATCTAACTAAAGCATGTTAGCACCAGTGGTGGAGGGAGTATTCACATCTTTAACTTCAGGTTTAAGTTAATACCACACTGTAAAAGTTGCCAACTCTGGCATCACTAAATGATTGATGATATTATCACAATATAAGTATTATAACAGTACAGTAAAATGTCACCTATGACATATATACTATCACATCAATATCACTCGTGCACTGATATACAGGCAGGATTTTACTGTTGCAGTTGGTTGAAGTGGAGCTCTAATCAACTGGTATCCAAGTGCAACTATTGATTATTTTCAGTATGGATTAATCTATTGATTATTTTCTCCAGGAGGAGCAGGACAGGGGCTCTCCTGGCCTCCCTGAGCACAGCAAATGCCTCTGGTCACAACTTTAGATCTGTTGGAGGAGCCGGGGGCTGACAACAGCCTGAGGTACTTGCTGATAGTGAATAATGAACAGTAGTTAAAGTTTCTACTACACAAATTAAAATTACAACTGTCACACCTGTTGACCATGCTAGAGGTGAGGGCGGGGCTCTCAGGCTCAGCAGCGAGGGAGATGAAGGTCCTGAAGAACAAGATCAGGTGCAAGATCCGTTTTATTTGGGGAAATTAAAATGAAACATTGCACATTTACTGTGTTACTGATTGTCAAGCAGCCCTCAGGGACCAGGAGGAGGAGCTCAGGGCACTGGGAGTGACAGTCGCCCAACAGGATACGACCGTCGGGAGCTCAGGCTGAGTTGCCGTGTGGCAGAGCCACTGACCGGTGGCCTGGTGATGGCACCATTAAAAGGCCTTTCAGCTGGTTATCAGGGACCGCTCCTCTACTTCTGTTCTAACTAGAAAACATGTTTACTTTCTTGTCTGCATCTTTCCTTCTTTGGCTGTGTGGTATTCTTACATAAATATGGTGGCTGGCAGGCCCAACCTGCCCGAGGTGACCAACCCTAATCTATAGATTTACACAGGATGGGGATTTATTCTGGGAAACCAGTGGGCATTTAACAAGACCGGACCAGTACTGTGGGGCTTTTGTCTGGCCTGCAGGAAATCAGCGCCCTGCAGCGGAATCACTGGAGGCTGTTCATATCTGGTCAGGTATCTGCACAGAGCTTAAAGAAAGTTCCCACATGGGAACTTGAAGAGAATGTTGGCACGGATGTGAAATTAAAGTGAGTTATGGCAGAAGCCAGTACTGAAGCTCATCACCTGTTTCTCTTATTTCAGGTACGTCTCTCCCACAGTGCCCAGTGCGTCTTAGACACTTTAGTCCTCTCCCCACTGTAACTGCAGAATACACCCAAAGTGTAGAACTCCAGGGGGAGGAGGTTTCCGTTAGACCTGGTGAGAATTCCCGTTTACCCAGGTATCCTACAGAATGTCAGCCTACTTTACCAACAAGTTTGAGCATCTCTTGTCAATTAACGACAATGCATGTTTTTCTATTTCATATAGGCTTCACCCTCTAAGAGCTGTCGCTGTTGGGTTTATTCCCTTGCACATGCGCAGTCCTGAAGAGATTTCTTTTCACGCCCTGTGCCCTACACTGGGCTGACTCCACTCATGTCCGCTCTGACTGTATAAAATGCCTGAGCTCTGCTCCCTCTTTTTCTACAGCATTGCACGCAGTCTAAAGAGCAGAGAACCATGAGTGCCAAACACCAGTGTCGTACCGCCGTCGCCACATGCAACACGGCCTTCATTACGTCCAACGACTCCCACCCCCACTGCGAGGCCAGCCTCAGTGCTGAGCACGCCGAGCTAGCAATCTCTCTTTGGGCCGCCTGCCCATTCTGTGCTTACTTGCCCGAGGCGAAGAAGCAGCAAGGCCTGGGCGACCATGCTGCAGCGTGTCTGCACATGTTACAGATTCCGGAGCAGATCCAGAAGAGCCTGCTGGATGGCCCCATCAGCCACAATGGGCTCTTTGGGCCGTGCCTCCAGGAGGCTGTATCGGAGGAGGCTCACATCACGGGGCTGGGTGCACCCTCAGCCTCCTCGGGCTGACTGGCGTAGCCATGGGGGACAGACCAAGACGCTTGTGACCTGTGAATACCTCATCACTTTCACCCAGAAAAAAATACTTTTTTTTGCCAGCTCTCACAATTCTTAGACTAAAAGTAATTATTGTAGCAAACAAATTCTTATTATACAAGTATGGTATAGTGGTTGAATACTAGGTTTAACAAAATATTGCTTTAGCATATCATGACAGTAATAGCATGTACTTATAGATTAGCATCCATTTATCAGCGTTAAGCACAGGACTAACACTAAACTACTAAAGCTAGAATTAGCTTCGACAGGATTGCTGCACGAGAAGAACTAGCTTAGCAGAAGCCTATTTATTATTACATTGGTTTGTTAGCTGTTAGCATGTGTTGCATGGCTAAAAGTTGCTCGCATGTGACTTCAGCACTCCCTAAATTACCAGGCCCTGGATATAACGTGCATGCAGCAAATGTTAGTGGAGTAGCACAGCGCAGTCTGTGGAAATAAATATTAAAAATGTTGGTTCTGCCCCGAACAATAATTCCATCATTCTAAAACTTTGATTAAAAATTGGATGATGTAATGGTGTTGGGTTACCTGGTTAACAATAGTGTTGGCTCACCTAATCAATACAGTCTGAATTGAATTAAACGTTTAAGAAGGAAAGGTCCAAAATAGGCACTTTCAAAACTACTTATGTGAAAATATACTGGTTCATTTGATGTTGAAGGGGTTGTGGCTTGGCTGTTGATCTGACAATGATCAACTTTTTATTCCTGGTATCCTACTTAAAAATATGCCAGAAATAATTTGAGCTGCTTATTAAAAAGTTGGCCCTTCATAGCAAAAAATAAAGGAAAAAAAATGTACTGTCTCCTTGTTAAAGCCTCAAAGGAAAGGATGAAAGGAAGATCGGAGCAAAGATCTGACTGGAAATAGCAATAATGTGACACAGGTACAGAAAAAAATGTAGAGTGCAGAGGTGACAAAAGGGCCGAGTCTGGAAGAGTTGGTTCAACCACGGTATAGAAGCTAAACCAAAGGTGCAACCACCTATGAGCCATTTTGCAATAGCTTCTTATATGAACAGCACATTATAAAATAATTTTAAAATTCTCTAAGACACAAACAGTAGTGTTATTGAACAATGTACCATCTATTTCAGTCAAATTATTTCTACATCTCTGTGACAGAAAAGAAGCTATAACAGTCTGGTTAGTTGAAAATGACACGATCTGAGTCCGTTGGCTAAAGTGAGTGAAGTGAGCAGTTCCCACAGTTCCTCTGAAGAGCCGCCAACAACACAAGAAGAAGAAACGGCAAAGAAGAAGAATGGATACATTCCAATTTCCTTTAGCAGGCTCCGCCTACAAAGAGTCCTCATTGGTTGTCCATCAAACTCAAAAGATCTCCTCCAGAATCACCAAACCTCAGAGATCATACCTGCTAAGGGCCCACTATGTAGCACACTGACTTCAAGCTTAAAGCAGACATCTTCCTGTGGTGGTGAACGCTCATTGGCCAGTTTCTTCAGAGAGGCGGGACTCGTACAAGCTCAAGGCATGATGGACAAACTCGTACTGCTCACCTGTCTGGATCATACCACCTCTGCACATGAACAGACAGAGAAAATAATGGTTACTGTAATAGCAATAAATTGAAACACTACACCATTTCTCATTTTTAATCCGTATACTGTATATTATTATCATAGAACATCTTAGTCATTTAAATGATGAAGATGATGAAGCATTGAGCAGAAATAGCACCTGTGTTTACACTGACATTGAGGGGACATAGAGGAGAAAAAAAAACTGTGTAAAGGTTTGACTGTAGTAACCCTTCAGACAAAGTCCTTGCCAGTATGCCAGTTCAAGATTTCCTGTGTATGTTACCTATCTGCTCGGAGCTGGCAGGTGATGCTCAGGACATCCACCAGTCCCTCCAACTGCAGCTGCCGACAGCCTATTGTTGTGGCGATGAAACAGCCTGTCCGGCCAATCCCAGCGCTGCAAGGAGAGGGGTGTGGATAATGAGTTGTCACAAACATTTTTAGAAGTAGCAAAAAAGTCCATCTCGCATTTCCCTCCATCGGTACCTGCAATGGACAATGACCGGTCCCACGGCGGTGGCTGCGCATCTGTCCATCTCAACGTCGGCCATCAGCTGCAGCAGCGGCATCGCAGAGTCTGGGGTTTTGTGGTCGGGCCACGATGTGTACCAGTAATGCTGCAACATGTGGGTTTGATTCCCACACTGCAAAAAAAAGTCACTCTAAGCTGCCAACATTAAAGGTATTCTACCTGATGTCTTTTCAACCCAGAAGGTCTGTGAGACTCAAAACAAACTGACACCATAAACCGCTGTCTGCCCCTCCCATCACGTCCTGTTTCCTGAAGCTATGACGTGAACTACGGTTGCCTGGTTGGGACAAATTGTACAAGACACAGCCTCCAGTCTGAAGCTAGCGTTAGCTGGCTAACAGTAAATGTGTCAGTCCAGTAGGACCCTCTGGTTACTGCTGATGTGACACAAAACTCCAGTTCCTCCTAAATTAAAATCGTATTAATTCAACACAAAAGGTAAAATCCTGACCATGTTAGGTGGCTAATGTTACCAAAACAAACAGGTTAGCTTTAGATGCTAACACATCCAGAAGGAAGAACACCACATCTGAATTCAGTCTGAGTCCTCTGGCTGCTTTTAACCCTCTCCATGTCAAACAGCCAAACCCATGTTAACCCTGGTTGTTGCTCTTTCTTTGTCCCACTCTCTCTGTGCTAAAGATGCCACCTCTTCACTCTGGTTCAGACTTTTAGCTGCCCAGAGCTGCTGGGCTCTAGGATCTAGGAGGGGGGGTGTAGCTGAGAGACACCACGTCCTGTCCCACTGTCACTGGGGTTATCAGGCGGGGCTGATTTACAGACCGTACTTTGACAACACAGGGTGGAGAAGCTGGAATAACAACAGGAGGCTGTAGGCCTCATGGAGGGGGGGTGTAGCTGGGAGACACCATGTCCTGTCCCACTGTCACTGGGGTTATCAGACTATGTGGAAAATCTTAATTTAGTTAATGTACTTTTAAATAAATGGCTCTGGCTGCACATGAGTACCAGAAATAAGAGGTTTATTTTAAAGAGTATGCATACCTTGAGTGTGAGGCTGCGAATGGTGTAGTGTTCACACTCTCTGATGCTGTTGACCAACACTTCAACTTTCCCATAAATTCCTCTTTTCTCTGGCCAATACAAAACACACTTCTACAGAAAAACACAAAGTAACAGCAAGGTGTCAAATTAAAATTATAATACTATTGGTTTTGCACATTTAAATACAGATCACCTGTGAAGTATTTTTCGTTTATGCTGAGCATTTTCTACACTTCTCCAAGAGTATTTAAATTGCCGTAATTTCCGGACTATAAGCCGCACCCAGTAAATGTAAGACGAAAAAATATGTTGTACATAGCCGCAGGTGTCCACGTTGTAACACGAGATATTTCGACAGCCAGATCGATCGCCTGTAACTTGAAGCGGCATCATATGCATTTCGTCGTGTGTTGTCCATGATGAGGGTGTGTGCATGAAGCGACAAAAGTAGTGGCTTATAGTCTGGAAAGTACGGTGATTTCCTACTGTCCAAGCAGTCAGGGTTTAATTTCACTTGTAGCATAAACAACTTATGGAAACTTGTCTTGAATTTTGTTGTCTAAATTTATGTTGTGGTAACTTCAGGACTAAAGCAGTGACCAATCTTTTTAAGAATCTCCACTGTTTTGAGCGTGTCAAGCTCCAGGTTGTTGTGACCGCACAACAAGACCAGCTGTTCAAACTCCCATCTTCAGGCTGACTCGTCACCATCTTGGAGGAGACCAGCGTTCTGTTCAAGGCCAATTGGGCAGCCCGGACTTTCGTGTAGGCCTTGTGCCTTTGTGATCTTTTATCCCTGAAAGAGGCCATGCACATGCTTTTCATAGGCCCTTAGGGGAGGAGGAGCAGCTGCTGGAGTGTGAAGTGCTGCTTCTCAGACCTACAGTAAAACATATTCAGGTTGTCTGCCAGTTGTTGGTTCTCCATAGCATGGAGGGATGGTTTCCTGTAGCCGGTGACGTCCTACAGGCCTCTCCACACAGAGAGCCATAGGCTCAAAACTGGTTTATCAGCTTTTTAGTGTAGCTCATCTTAGCTATCGCCATCTCCCTTGTCAGTGTGTTTCGGGCCTGGTTGTACAGGATCTTGTCCCCACTTCTATGGGCCTCCACCGTTATGCAGGTGGTGGTTTCTGTATTTTTTGTTTTTAAATTTCTAAATACTTAAAATAAAAGGTTTGCTGCAGGAGTTGTAAGCACTTCTTTTCAAATATGTCATTTTCTACATTTTTGCATACAGCTGCACATCATGATTTCTGTTATGTTTTAGGTTTTACCTAGCATTTATAATTTTAGTGGATTCCATTGTTTTTATTTCTATACATTAGGTACATTTCATCTTTTTAAAATGAAGAGTTGTGTATTAGCCCATCTTGAATTTGTTTTTCTGTTCAAAGTTTTTGTTTTATTATCAGTAAAATGCTTTGAATTGCATGAACCTGTATCAAAGGTGCCCTAAGAGCAAAGTCTGATGATTTATTTACCAAGTCTATTAACACCAGCCCACCTAGGGTAATTCTTCAGTCCTACCTCAGCACTCTCTCCTTACTCTTTTACCTTGCTGTGCTTTGGTTAGGGGCAGGTCAGAGATTACCTCGTTCTTTTCCTTCAGTTTGGTGATCATGACAATGACCGGAGACTCCTCCTGCCACGCCATCTGCCAGAAGTCATTCACTGTGTTCACCATGGGACCTTGGGTAGCAATGTACGCCTTCTGGTCACCGAGGTAACCCTGGGAAAGAGCCAATCACATAGCAGCATCAGACGCTCGGTGGAGGGCAGCAACAGCACTGTTGACATAAGGTCCGGAGGAGGAAGTGATGACTACTTTCATCTGTTGTCACTTCTTCTTACAGTGGGCCAACTGAAAAACCTGACGTTATTAATTATCTTCAGTTATCAATTATAACAAGCTGTAAGACCCGAAGAGCCATAAAACCTAGAGAGTGACCACGGTTGTGTACCGTTTCAATTTTATCTTTTCAGATTCCAACTTTGCTTATTTAACCCAGTTCTTATCAATTCTGAGCCTTCCTTTATTCTTGGTACATTAATCAGTAAACTGACAAGTGTGACACAAAGGTTTGTTTCCCTTTATAAAAATGATTATATTGAAGTTATTTGTAGACATCATTTGCTTGCCTTAACTATAAAAGAAAAATGTCAGCTCATCTGCGTTTTGTAGCTGAGCATGAGACGTCGCTAATGTTGACGTTAGCTTTACCTGGGAAACTGCAGCACATCGAGCACGGCACATTCCTTCAGATTCACATCGTGTCAAAGCAACAGCTTCGTCATGTTAGAGCTGCTACCTTCTTGCTCAAATTATCCTTACTGCAGGTGTTGCATTTTGCTGTCATCTTTTTTTTATTGACGCTATGCCACACTTTTGCGTGTTTTCTGCGATCAGCCATGGTCTGTGATGTAAACAGAAGCCTCCTTCTTTCACATGCTTTGACAACGTGCTGTATAACAAATGACATGGCTCTAGGTCCGCGTCGCAAGTCCCGTTAGATACGTAAAACTTTTATGAACTGTGATTCTCATTGTAGTTCACTCAGAAGCACAACTGAAATATGCAACAGTTAGGAACCGAAACACTGGTCTTAACAAATCCACTGTTCTCAAAAATTTTGAACTGGTTGGAACCAGTTCTCAATAACCGACCCCAAGAATGACAGACTTCCACCATGAAGCATTGTCTGAAACATACACAACATGACTGTTGGATTACTTAATGTTATCCAGCTTTTCAAATAAAGCTACAACACAAATCATCATGTGAGACTATACCAAAAACAAAAATGCAAGGAAAATGGGCCAATTTTTTATTTTAACTTTTAAAACCAGGAGGGTGTTTTACCATATTCTGAGTAAAATAATAAAAACCTACTAAGTTAAAAATGAAAAGTGCATGTAGTGCGATGTTTCAGCACAAGTGTTAACACCCACCCGTATATAGTTTGCGTTAATGTAGGAGCTCAGCAGGTCGTTGTGGCTCTTTGACTTCAGGATCACTCTGGAATGAGGGTCTAGGACACAAGGAAGGGAGGACAAAGAAACAGAAAGGGATAAAGATAGAACAGTGTCATTTAGCCCATTGGGGGCACTGCAACACTTCACTGGACAGTTTGGCCAGACTATTGTCAAGCTTGGTGGGGGGTTACTCTGCTTAGCCCTGGTTGTTTCTTTGTTACAGACTAGAACATGAAGCTCTTTTAGGGCACACCCCTGCTCCCTTAATTGCATCCAAGTTTCCTTTACTTTTGCTTTAGTCACTCCCATGTAAAATGTAAGGAGAGAAGAATCAAAAAGAAATGTATAGAGATATGAAACCCTGAACCTTCATCGGAAGTGTCCAATCACCAACTGATTTCTGATAAGAGGCACATCGGTCCATAAGAGACTTCCACTTTATCCTCAGAGCTGATACGAGGGTCTTGGGACGCCCTCGATCTTTGCACATGAAGAACAGTGTCTATGTCAAATCGAGGAATGAGGACCGATCATGTAAGAGCAGCCATAATCTTGTCTCCTCCAGGCAGCATCCTCACTACTTCAATATGTTGGATCAGAACAACTTCTGGGTTGAGGGAGGATCAAGGAATGGCCAAATAAACAAGTTGGGATTTTACCCAGAGACTTGATTTCAACACCTTTCAATATGACCTGCCTTTAGACTCAGTGTGAATTCGCTTATTTTATTATTCCTCAATCCTTGCTTGACCTGGAAGTCGATCTGGTCTACCACGATGATGATGAAGGGCTCCAGAGCTCTTACTGCTGCTCTGAGGATTGAGGACTGAGAAGCACAAAGGCTATCTGAGGAGCTATAACCGAGGATACACAAGTTCACCCTCTGTGGAATTCTGGATCGACACACCCCTTTTACTGGAAACCAGTTTGCAATTGGGTGCTTCACTAAGGACTGGAGGAAAGGACGTCTCATGTCACGTTTCCTTGGTCCTTCTCTCTTTGCATCTTACGTGGGCAGAACTAAGATGTAAGGAAAGGACTGTTAGGTGAACTGAGATTCACCATCAGTCTAAATTTGTTTTGCAGCTCTTTCAGAGACCATCTTGACTCAGTCCCCTCCTACACTTTGATTCCACTTTGTCCTGTGATATCAGAGCAGTGAACCCTTCAGAAAAGACAACACAGACTGGAACACAAGGAGTTTGATGCATTGCAGCTCTAGGTGAGCACTCCTTACCTTTTAATTGGTGGGAAATAAGGAAGGAAACCCCCTTGCTCAGCGTTGTATTGATAACCCCACCCCCTCTCAAAACATGAACACACAAAATAAAAACTCTCATTATGTGTGTGTGTGTGTGTGTGTGTGTGTGTGTGTTGCATAATGGCTTAATCAGGCTCAGAGGTTGGCTGGCTGTGTGAGAACACACTGTGCCCCAAGGACAATGAACTGTGCGTGTTCAGGGAAGAGGGAGGTGAGATATGAGCTGTCCCCGGGGTTGTTGGCATTTGACCTTAAACCCTTCCCACATAAAAAAAAACAACTTCCTGGTTCAACAGGAAACAAGACCCAAGGACTGTTTTGAGTTTGTTTCTTAGCAACTCACTGGGCAGTATGGTCTTGTATCTGTTCTTGGTGCCATGGTTCGGTACATCCAGCTCCTTGGGATCAGTGAAATTCATTGGAATTTCCTGAGAAGGGACAAAAGAAACTTGACATTAAGGCAAGACAAGCTTGTCTATGTAATACATTTCATAGCCAGAGGAAAAAACAACGCACTTTATTTGAAGATTAAGAAGAAGGTACAAGTTTAAGGAAATGAAGAGTTTGGCTGGAGAAATGTACATTTTATTTAAATAGCCCCTGGCACTTTTCCTTATTTTTTGACTTATCTACAATCTTACAACAGTGAATTATTATCTTAAACGTGACACGAAGCTCAAAAAATGAGGTGAATGTATGCATTTCTATTGGGAGCATCTCGGTTTATACACCTCTCACAAACTCTCCAGGAAATGGGAGAAATGATGAGGGGGACGCTAAAAATTCCCAGGAACTCTGAGAAATCCCTGCAACTAAACTCCCCGTTTTCAACTATAGTGGAAAATGTCTTATCAAAAAAAACACTGTGCTTTGAGTCTGTGACCTTGTGGTAACGCATCCGTTTCTCATTCAAGCCAATTAATTAAAATAGGGCCGTAAAGCGATGTTCCTCACAAAACTGCATTCAACTACTTACAGCGAACTCAGCATGCAGTTTGTGCGTGTTGTTGATGAGGTCTCGAACGTGCCGTCTTGTCAGTGGCCGGCCGGCGGACAGCAGATACTCCTTCGCTGCCGCCTCTCTGGGGGTTACCACCGCAACATTAAGGGGCTCCACAGAGCCGAGCGCTGACATGTCCAGCACCAGAGAGACATTGGAGCCGCGTCTGCAGGGGAGGGACAGAAGGTAAGAAAGACGACAACATTATGGAGCAGCCAACAGACTGAAAGGGAAACTGGATATGGTTGATTATCTGTGATGCGTCTGTAAACCCTGCTGATTCTAACCATTTGTAACGATTTGGCTGCCGAAGGCGTTTCTAAAGCCGCCTTCAACTTGTGAACTGGTGTAACTTTTTTGTGTATTGCACAACCTGCTCAGCATTCACACAGTGGTTCAGTTTGTGACACCCCCGCTGGTTCACAACTAACAACAAACATGTCTTGTTCCACAACATCTATTTGATGTCTGGAACAGAGATCCCTCCTCAGATGAGCTTCCTGAGCTTTGTTTGTCTTTATAAAGCATTATGAAGTGTTTTGAGAGAGTGGTGCTGGCCCGCATTCAGAGCAGTATACCAGGCACCCTAGACCCCCTGCAGTATGCCTACCGGCCCAGCTGGGCCACCTCAGACGCCATCGCGGCTGCCCTCCCCTATTCCCTTTTTTACCTGGGAAATGGAAACTCCTACATCAGGATACTCTTCATTGACTACCGCCCCGACTTCAAACC